TTTAATAATATATATATATATATATATATATATATATATATTAATCATTTTAAAAGAATCTATATAAAAACTAAACATATTTCAGCCTTTATTGAACTACTAATGGTTTAATGAAGAAATATATTATTTATTTTAATAGTGGTTATATGTTAGCTTCTAATAAATAATACATTTTAAACTGATTATTTTTTAATAAATCGTTACCACTTTTTTAAATAACTATTAATTATATTAGTCATTTTATTAGCTGCTATTTAAAAATTACTGAGATATATTTTCCTATAGTGTTTTGGTATAAAACTAATGAATCGATTTATTAATAGTGCGCATTTTGAGTTTTTTTTATATATTTTTATTTCTTTCATTAAATTTTTGCATAAAATGAAATACATATATTAATTTTAATTTATAGAAATGCTTTATAGATTTTAACTCTTTTTTTTTCCTTTTATAAGTACTTGATACGAAGTATATGCAAATTAACTTTATGTAGAATTTACCAAAAGAAAAAAATTTTATTATGTGGCTGGATGCAAATTACAAACATGTCAAATTTTTGTAAGACGTACGGTCGTCCATAAATTAAAATAATTAGATTAGTGAGTTTTAATTTATCTTATTCAAAAAAATGACATCTTTTTTTAAGAAAAAAAATTGGGTTATTTTTATTAAAAAACGAATATTAACTATTGGAGGAGAACCAATACAAAACCGGCAAAAAAAAATAATGAAAAGGAACATTTTGAATTAGTTTTTTATTATTTAATTTTAACTATTCATTTAATCAAATAAAAGCTCAAACTTAAAACCTTGTTGGGAGGTCATCTTATGAATGTCAAAAGATTTTACCGAGGAGATTAAAAATATCGGTAACTAATTATTTACTTCTTTACAATCATATGTACCAGTAAATTACGCTTTTAATTTTATAATATTTTGACTAAATTATATTTTTATTTTTTATTTTTATCTCGTTTTCACTTAACTGTATTATTTTTATGACATAAAAATGAAAATTAAAAAAAAAATCTAAATATTATTAAATTTTGATTATTATGTTATCTTTTTAATATTATATCATGATTAATGATGTAATTTCATTGATTAATTGATGAACATTCAATAATAAAATAAAAATTGTAGATTTTATAAAATTAAACAACTAAAGTTGTAGAATTAAAAAATAAAAAGATCAAAATTATGGGTTTAATATTATAGAAGATAAAAATATAATTTATCTAATTAATTATTATTCAATTTATTGTTATTAATTTTTTATCTTACGATAATATCATTTAATTATTTTATATTAACTTAAAAATTTACCTTTTTTTTTGGATGAAAAGCTTAACTTATTTAATTCTTTATGATTAATCTTATTATCATCATTTAATATTTTACAATATATTAAACGTATGTATTTAACTATCACAAATTTATTCATGATTTTTTTTTATCATCAATTTATAATAAAAACTAAAATTTGTTTTGATTAATCATAAATATTTTTAGAATATATATACATTTATATATTAAATATGAACGATAATTTTGCGTGAAAACGTTTTTAGGGGACCATTCTTCAACAGAACCATTCAAATGTTTTAATTTAATTATGTAACTAAATATTGTTATGTTGTAAAAGTTGTTGTTTTAGAACCCTAGAGTTAAGGGACTCTAAGAGTTAGGTTGTCTTTGAGGTAATTGAATCAGAGTTACATTTGTTCAGTTCCAAAAAAAGATATATGTGATTTTTTTTAAGATATAAACATCATAAGTTCATATTTTAAGAAAATCATAAAGAGAAGTTAGAGAGAAGTGCTATGGAAACTGAAGTTTCTAGGTTAAGAATCTTGAATCAAATGTGTGAAGTTCTTCGAGCGTGGACGAGATAAGAAGCCCTTTGCCTCAATGGCGTCAAGCGTCCAAAGGATGGCGCCAAGCATAAGTTGTATGAGTTTGATGTGTTGTTTAAGTTTTTTTATGAATGAATGGTGATGATTAAGTTGTATGATGAAAATGATGTGATGATAGCTCTTATATTTTCAAGTTGATATATTATATGATGATATTTATTTTACTTTAATAATAATACTAGGCTTCTTAATTTAAGTGGTAAGACTTGAGATATCAAATTAAGTTGTTAAATAGTTTCTTTGAGAGGCCTGAAATGTCTATAAATGACTTGGTTGCGAATTTGCGATAGGTCAAACATTATGGTTTGGTAGGGTATAGTTACTTAAATTGTTTATCTCTATTATAGGATATCTCTTAGTTGATACGTACGACGACGCATTAGTTGATTATTGATGTTGAAAATGTGATATGGTAAAGGTGTTATATGTTGTATGAGGTTGCAAGTTATATGTTTGGTCTTTGATGACAAGTGAATTTGCATGTTGAAATGAATATTGTTGCCTAAGTTGTTTACGTTGTTACTTAATATTGTTCTAGTACGTTGATTTTTTTTCATAAGCTTACCTTTTCTTTTTTTTTTCATGGTTAGAATTGTAATGATTATATTTGGTATGTGAACAAGACAAAATTAGTGAGTTGGCTTGTCTAACTAATGGGGGTCTTTTGTTGATGGCTCCTGATGTCACTCTAACATGGCTTAGTAGTTGTATAGACGTTTGATCGACGATTAAGTCATTTTGTGTATAATTATGAAGATTTATATTATATGTGTACATCTTTTTGCTACGTAGTAACTGAGTCATAATAAATGTAGTGATTGTTGGAGTGTTACAAAAAATAATCTTGTGTCATAGTTTAAATTATTTATCATAATTTTAAAATATAATTCATATGTTACAAATTAAAATATCCATTTTTATAAAATTTAAATATAATTTATACATTAAAATATAGTATTTATTTGTATATATAATTTATTATAAATTTTTATTATATATAATAAATATTTAGCTTGTGAAATATACAAGTTATTTTAAGAATAATTCTTCATAAAATTACTTCACTTAAAAATTCATGTGTATATTAAATTTTAACGATTTAACCGTTAAATTTAAGAATGAAACAAGGTCTGGGTAGATTTGCTCTTTGCGTCTCCACCCCATAAAAAGTAAG